AACGGACATTACCGGGCGGGTCTCACAGATCACAGAGTATTGAAACTCGAAATTATCAATTTAAACGATCGACCCGAATGATCCTGTTCGTAAGACGAATCAATACTTGAATGATCGGGTCACCAGATATCAATGAATGACACGTGTCTCGTAGAAAAGTACCACTCTCACCATATAAATAGTAGTAGTCAAATAAATAATGAGAAAACTAAAATATGTCTGAAATTTGAATTGATGATATATTCTTGCCAAATGTCTACTACAGTCACAATTTCCTAATTCATACCATAGAAATTGATACTCGCAGTCCCACATGTTAGGGCGGAGTGTTTCTTTTAGTTTTTAGGTCTTAGCTATGTTGCAGTTATGTTTAATTCAATTTTACTGTTGATTTTTTCGTAGATCTACAAATTATTGCTGTGTTACCACATAAACCGATTTAGAAAATAATTAAAAACAAATGAATGATGCGTTATCACATAGACTCAACTACAGCACTGATCACACCCGAAAGCTATTTTTTTTTAACAATTTGAGTTAAAAAATGACAGTTTATCTGCTGATGGTGTAGTCCATAGACAATACATTTGCAAATTTTTTTCTCTTTATTTATTTAGGGATTTTTGTTTGCTAACATGTCAATCTCATTATAACTAACTTAAAATCTATACATTTACTATTAATCTGCACATACTCAATGCAATATCCCAGGTGGGGGCATGTAGAATTCCTTGCGCAATACCCATGTTATACACATTTATCTTATATTATGCCATCTATACAAATAAATAAAATTGAAGTGTCTGTTTGTAATGTCAAAACTACGGCTTTTTACTAAATGCATATAAAAGTATATACGATACTTATAACAAAAACACAATTATAAAATTTTTTGTCTGTCTGGCGGTCTGTCTGTCTGTCTGTTTGTTCCGGCTAATCTGTGAAACGGCTGGACCGATTTTGACGGGACTTTCACTGGCAAATAGCTGATATCATAAGGAGTAACTTAGGCCTACTTTTATTCTAGAAAAATAAGTAGGGTTCCGCGCAAAAAAACTAAAATCCCAAATGACACGCGCGCGAAGTCGCGAGGAACAGCTAGTTATAAATAATTCCCTTGCCCATCGGTTCTGCTCACATTCCATTTAAAAGTGATGTAAGTAATCTATTACTCCACAAGTTTCACAATTAGGTGAATCAGTTCTTTTCATCAAATAAAAAAAAATTTGATGGAACGTGACCTGTTCTTATTCTAAGTATTACTTTAATAATATATTTCTATTTAATTTCCTATCCATAAACCAAGGTATTTGGGGCGGTTCACTCTGTATCGTTTTGTACCAAATACGTTTCGTTTTAGAGCGTTCATAGAAAAATTCTTCCCATTCGATATAACATGAATTTTTGAATTTTGTCAGTATTTGTGAGTAGCAAAGGTTTTTAATTATACTCTACACCATTTACTTTTGCAATTATACTAGGAAGAGAATCCATCACTCTCGTCCCATTCCGTCCCGTGAACTTAGTAAGGTATGACTATGGGAAAAACCAGAATAGTTTGGAAAATCCAAACGTGCACGCCTCATGAGCGTTTTTATTTTTTTTAAGTTGATAAAAAATATCTTTTAGACGTCTATGAGTCTGATAACAATCAGCAATAGAGATCATCCTGAGGATGAAAGGAAACTTATTCAAAAATATTTATTTCATTTTGTTGCGTATGTCTTACCAGATCTTCACTCCATCTAGTGGGGGGACGCCCTACACTTCGCCTGCCGGTACGAGGCTGCCACTCGAGAACCTTTCTTCCCCATCGGTTGTCGGTTCTTCGAGCTATATGGCCGGCCCATTGCCACTTCAGCTTACTAATCCGTTGGGCTATGTCGGTCACTCTGGTTCTACTGCGGATATCCTCATTTCTGAGTTTATCACGCAGAGAAACTCCGAGCATAGCCCTCTCCATAGCTCGCTGAGCGACCTTGAGCTTCCTAATCCGGCCAGCAGTGAAGGACCACGTCTCAGTTCCGTATGTCATCACTGGCAACACGCACTGGGTGTACACTTCGTAACTTTCATCATGGGGGGTATATTGCCATAGTTGCTACGCTTGGCGAGCGGGTTGGCAACCGCAGTTTTTTATTGTATTTTTGCCGTTACCAGGAAGATGCTGCTGCCCATCTCCTGCCTGTATCCCTTTGTCGCCTTTTACGACACCCACGGGAAGATATGGGGTAGTGGATATTCTTAACCGCCACTACACGGCATTTACATATTTATTTATTCTTTATTGCATTCCTTAAAACAAAAGAATACAAAGGGCGGACTTAATGCCTTGAGACATTCTCTATCATCAAGTTTACGTTTAAATTAATTGTTTACGTCCAATAGTTTTTTTATAGCTTTATACGTGGTAGAGCCATACTGCAGATATAGATATTATTAGTATATATATATAGTTGTAACACGAATGGGTCGGCTCGACCGGGGAAGGACCCCGTTCTCACAGAATACCAGCGTAAAATAGCAGCTTAACACTACTGTGTTTCGTATGGTGAGTTTAGGAAAACGGAGACCACTTTTCTGGAAAAAAGGCATTATATCTTAGTCCTCACGGGTGTCTATTGGGTGTCACGTAACTGCATTTTGATTATTTATTGAGGATAGATGTAGATGTCTACGGGTCACAGCAACCACTTACCATCAGATGGACTTTGTGCTTGTTTGTCACCCTATCTTATAAAAAAAATTAGTGGGCTACATGCTGATGATGAAGGAGAAAAATCAATATAAATCAACACTTACTCGAAAAGCTAATACGTTTACTTATTACTAACGAGTATATATCGTCTATATAGCTATGTATTATCATAAGTAAAAAAAAAAATATACTTGTTATAAATAATTCTTTGAAATCACAACAGTTCGTTTACATCTTTAAAACGCATTAAATATTTTACTATTCAATAAAAATAAATATAGGTACTTACACAAAATATGAATGAATTAATATACTTTTATTGTACACCACGAACAAATATACAAATGACATAACAAAAAGCAGATTATATTATGTACAATTTGGCGGCCTTATCGCTACATAGCGATCTCTTCAAAATATTTGTTTTTTAAAATGTCTTAATAAATTAAATGCTTAAAGTATTTTTTATATTTATCTATTGCATACGTTTAAAAACATAAAGCAAAATAAATAACATTAATTTAATATAAATTACGGTCCAAATTATAAAAATATACCTACGTTTAAAATACAAGTGGAAAAATCCAATCCCGAAAACCCTCATTAAACGTTCACTAATTAAAATGTAATTAAATTCGCGAGAGAAAAAGAGAGCGCGACATTTAACTGATACTAATAAGATCGTCAAACAATTACGAGGGGCTCATCTGCGGTGCGAGAGAGATGGCCATATATCGCAACAATCACTCTTCCTGCTCGCACCATACTCTCTATTTAACTTTTAATTTATACTCATTCCTTTATATCTTTTATTGCTTTACCCATCGCAGCTCCTAATGCGCCCGAGGTGCTCCTCGCACTAATTAAATTCATGCAACACTAAGCTTTCCGAACACCCTTTTGTGACACCGCCCTCCCATTTCCTACCAATGGCAAGCCGAAGCGGTGTTCACAAAGGCGAGAGGGAGGGGCGTAAAGTACAGTCAGTGTAAGATCCTGATAGAGCTGTCACGTCGCTTGCGCTACGTCTCTACATTGTCTCTACATATTTTATTATTTATGTCAATTGGGTTATTACAATTTTTTTCGTTGTTTAATGGAATAAGATGGTTGTGAAATTGATTGCCTTTCGGCCTTATGATTCATCACTGTCAGGGATATAATCTGGAACGTGTTAATTTCGTATGATTGATTGTGGGCGCGTCATTAGTGTGATTGGTCGGCAATAATCTAGTTTTACGCAACGCTTCTATTGTGCCGACTAATATAGCACTACGCGTCCTAGATTACCTGTCATATTAAAGGTGATAGGTGAAATTTGTAATTGCTTTCTCACTGTAAATTTAAAATAGAAGATACAACGTGGGCCGATGTGGTTGGAAAATTATCTTTTTATATGTTATTTTAGTATATTTAGAGAAAATTTATATTTAAAAATTTATTATATTCCACTAAATAATCGCTACACAAACAGTTGTTATATTAAAGATAAAAACACATTTTTTGCAAAGGTAATGCCATTAACTAATTAGCAGTCGTATAAATAACACTAAAAAGTATAGGGTTAACGTTTAGCAATTTTATTTGTTGAAATCCTTTAGGATATTTAAAAATATATACATATGGGCGTTATTTAGATAACATACTAGTTTATATAACAAATGTTAGCGGTAAAATTTCTTGTCATAACTCCTTGCCCATTCTGTGTATACGTCGTTCGCAGCGCGCCATGCGGCTAAAAAAGATTATGACAGCCCTCGCGAACGTACGTCGGGCTTAAATCTGATGTCAGATCATTCACAATACGATTATACACTTTACATTGTACGATGTAAAGCTTATTTTACTTTAACTAACCGGGTCCTCTACTATGTCGTTAATTCCGCGTATGGCGGAGTCTTAATTTATTGCCCGCTATTCAATAAGCATCTGTAACGGGCGCGCGTAAGGTTTACAATCGTTCAACGTTTGTATACGTTGTACGGCTAGAATAAATCTATAATATGGAGGAGGCGGAGAATTAATTTAACCAGTGGGGGGAGTTGGGGGGTCGCTCCGCCCTGTGGAAGCGCGCCATCTCAGTGACTAGGCTGACGTGCCGGGGGATACACCTACATACGTTGGTTGTAGCCGGTTGACAGTTTTGTGTGCGATGTAAACATTGAGAGATCGGGAGGCAATCGGTTGTGAGTGAGAGACAAAAGGAACTTTAGGGACGTTGGTGATTGAGGATGCGTTGGGCTAGTGTTTGGCGGTGTCGATAGTCAAGATATCGAGCGCGGGGTGCGGCGGCGGGCGCGGCATGGTGCTGGAAGGTGCTCTGCCGCTGCAGCTGTACGCGGCGGCGGCGCAACTGGCCCCGAGGCCGGCCTGGCCGCCTTTTTTGCCCTTCTTTGGCGTACCACCGCCGTTTTTGGCGCGCCCGCGTCTGCCCCAGCCTTTGGTTAGGGCGCCTCACGGGCCGCCAAGTGAAGACTCCAATGAAGACGGCGCTAGTACAAAAGGTATGTCTTCTGATTTGAAATTAATAGGTACTATACGAACAAATGTAAGAAATTAATATTATTAAATTAAAATGTAAGAGCTTAACATTTCATATGTAGCTTTTAAATTCACATTTTACAATACACATGATATGCGCAAAATTATTCAAACGGTAAACGCCTAAAATCCGTAGATACTTAGTAAATAGGAAAAATACAAATTTTAAATTATTAATGTTCTTTTAAATTGATTTAAAATGACGTATAATAAAACTAGTAGTTTTCAATTTTTTTCTAATCTTTGTAATAAACTGTTTAGAAAATTATGCAGATAAAAAAAAATATCACAGTATTTACATCTAATTAAAGACGAATATTTTTGAACTTTATAGTAGAATCATAGAACGAAAGACACGTGCACCAATTTTTATTTTATAATCCTACAATAAAAAGAGTTTCAATACCTATTACGAATTGTTGTCGTACTTAGTTAGGTACCTACTCTCATTCTCATGCAATGAAGAAAAACAAAACAAATGTAACAGTGATAAAAACAAATACATATTTAATATTACAATTTACCTATTTTTTAAAAATTCTGGATGAAATAGGTCTTAGCACAGAATACCTACATAATAATTAACACCGCTTATTGTATCTACCTACTGCCAACGAATTTGATAATAACATGTTCTTTTTTCATATGTGTATGAGTGTGTGAGCAATAAAATACAATTAATTCTAAATACCGCAATTTCCTGTATTGTGAAAATAAGCAATTTAAACTTTTAATAGGTACTACTTATCTCGTTCGTACAATAGGCGCTGGAAACATTCAAATGTCACTTGTTAATAAAGTCGGCAATTCAACACGATATCTTGTATTTTTGTCATTTTACATCAAAACTAACAATCCATCAACGTGATACGAAATTTTAAACATATTATTCAGAATCGGCAGTGTGTGGATAATGTATGATTTTTATAATTATTTACGGGGACATAAAAAATCATGTAAATTTTTTAGCTATATTACTATTAAGTACCCAACCAGTTTATCCTTATAAGAAATATCCATAGAGAAGTGACGTAAAAAATCTGGAGGATCTGATGGCTTCTGATAGATTGCGGTACCTAATTTTTACGCCAGTTATCAAATACACAATTTTGAAAGAAGTGAGATGTCTGTTGCTGCGATCGCGAATCGTAAACGTAGCTAGCGATTAAGGCAAATAAATTCTTTCAACAACGGGAGAGGTTCATGTGGACTCGAGCTGTTGAATAGGAAAATGTTGTGGTTTTCAACCGACCTCAAAAAGGAGGGGTACTAAATTCGACTGTAGGTTTTTTATGTGTGTTACCTCATAACATTTTTTCTCGGTGAACCGATTTCGATGATTCTTCTTTTATTTCAAAGCTGATGTGGTTCCATATAAATTTGATCAAGGTCTGACCAGTAGTTTTTGAGTTATCCTTAATAATTTCTATTGAAGTTGGTTGTACATAATTTAAAATTAAAAATTTTGTACAGCCGACTTCAATATAAGTTATTTAAGAATAACTCAAAAACTATTAGTCTGACCTTGATCAAATTCATATGGGACAAAAAAAGAATCATCGAAATCGGTCCACCCAGTAAAAAGTTATGAGGTAACACACATAAAAAGAAAACATACGCGTCGAATTGAGTACCGTCTCCTTTTTGGAAGTCGGCAGAAAATGTTTAATTTTATCACTTGTATTTGTTATTCTTATTCGTTATCTAAAATTTAATAAAATAGTTTCGATGATAAATTAGAATCAACGACATTGGACAATCGTCTAATAAGACCATATCTGTTTTGATAAAATTACTTAAATCTGTCTTTGGTTCAATTTGTTGCACCTACATATATTATACGAACTAAATTCTCCATCTTTTAAAGAATTTTAATCCCTAAAGACGTAAATTATTAAAATAAATTAAAAAAATATAATTGTTTTTATTCAGGTTGAGCTATTTGTAAGTAGAATTGAGACTTTTCCAGAGAAGAATTGGCAAAACTTTGCGGTAATGGTTTTTCCTTTTTTTTTGCAAGAAAATGATTCTAATTTACTAATACAATAGTAATATTACAATTTGTTTTTTTTATGCCAGCTGATCACTAGTGTAGAAACAATTTTATCCTCTAAGTTGTCTTAAATTTTATAATAGGTACTACTCAAGATAAACTATACGTTTAAATATCACTTTTTTATTCTTTTAACATAAACATACCTATTTATTTTAATTTAAAATAAAATCCTATTAGGTAATACTTGTCTAAAAATTACCGTGCTGGTATTTCACAGTAGGTACACGCGTAGATACTATCCGGATACGATTCCGCCGGCATTGCTTATTTACCACGATCTCGACGGTGAAGGAAAACATCGTGAGGAAACCTGAATGACTAAAAAATTTAAATACTTCAAAGACATTTGAAGTACGCCAACACGCATTGATGCATCGTGGCAGATAAATTACTTATTAACCTTCTCAGAAAGAAGAGGAAGCCTGTGTCCAGGAGTGGGACATAGGAATATAGACTATAAATATACTTCTCTTTTTACTTTAAATAATAATTCATTTCAAGTCATAGATGGCTTAGGAACAGTATGAAATTCGTGTTGTAATATAGCTAGTAGGTCACCCTACTTCAGTCTCCGCTGGACCATTTAAATCTTATTTGAATTTTTCAAGGCTGAATTATCACGTAGATATTTGGTGAAAAAAATCTAAGAAACCGGCATTTTTGTTATTTTTTAATTTTTTGCGGACATAGTGACCATAAACCACCTAGTTATGTGGATGAATCTCGAGTCCAGCGGTATAGTAAATAGTACATACCTTATACATATTCCAATTATTTAAGCGACATTGGCCTAATGGTAGAATGTGGGCCACAAACTCTAAAGTCGTGGGTTCAAATTTTCCATTTGAATACTGTCGTGAACCATATAGGAGTTAACGGAAATATTAGTAATGTAAATCTCATATACTGGTGTGGAGAACGGCAACACCAGAACGAGAATATGCCTAATTAGCATGGTGTAATAAAATTCTGGAAGATTAGTGAAATTTTCGAAATAAATTTAAGAAAAATTATCTTATTATAAATATTTTCATTAAAAATATATCTTATTTTAAAAGCCACGGGTTTAAGTATCCTTAAGTGTTGCCTAAAAATAATTGTATGTATTATCGACCCGGATCTTGGTTTTCTTTTTTCTTCATTCATTAAAACCGATTAAAATTCACGCCTACTCAGGCCATAGGCTTCCCGCACAGATTGTCTCATAGATGTGAATTTTACCATAGTTGCCATGCTTGGAAGGCGAGTTTGGTTATTTTTTTAATTATTTTTAGTCGTTAACAGGAAAATTCTGCTGCTTATTTCCTGTTTTATTTCCATCTGTCGCCTCTTACGACACCCATGGGATAATATGGGGTGGAAGATTCTCATAAGCCACCACTAAACCGCATGGTGGTTTTTCTTGTACAATTAATGTATGTATATGAAACTCCTCCACAACACAGAAAAAATTCCTAGTGTGAAGTTTGTATTAAAAAAAAGGAATAAAGAGTTTTTTTTCTCACAAAGTTAATTTGTAGTAACACTTTGATTTTTATTTATTTTTTAATTTTTAGTTGACTTACGGAGCCGACGCGACGCGACGCTCTATTTGTTCCGCGGAATAATTGCAGTGTTTCATAACCAACAAAATAAATTAATATCTATTTTTAATTTGCTTTGTAATGAATATCGAATTATTTATTACAGTTTATTTACATAATTAGTGATTTAAGATTTTGGTGGTGAGAAACATTCATGCCTTTATGTGAGACTTTTTTTCTTAATTTCAAGCTTTCTAGTTTTTTGTCTAAATAAATCTTTTCTCTAAATCAAACATTTTAGGTTTTGTTTGTGGTGCTTTTTACGCTTAGTTCGATAGAGAGTTAGTTGTCTAGTCAAACAGGGTATGCGGATATATTCAAAAGGTGTAATGTGTAAATAAGTATCGCATTAATACTTACACGTTATCCGACATTATAAAATTTTGTAAGATGTTTAAATATGTTTGTTATTATCAAGAAAACATCAAGTTAATTCAGCGTAGATCAAAATAAAAATTATAATTATTAATTAAGAACTGACCTTCACCTTAAATTGGATTTTACATTGCTGTTTTCTGTCTTGACTATAGAATGTGTCTTACTCTGAAATTATACCTATATAACTCGAAAAATTTTGAAAGTTTTACTAAGAAACGAGCAAACATAGGCTGAAATGATGGCAAATTAATCGATTAAATTAGATTTAACATAATATATAACGATATTACAGTATGATGAATGATACTTTTGTATCTTTTTGTAGGAGGTGTCTGCTTGGTATATAATATATATCTTATTCTAGGTAGGTCTCAATTATATTTATTACAAAAATATAAAATGTACAGAAACCTGCAATTTACATTTTTATTATATATATATATAAAATATATAGCGGTGGGTCACCCTTATCATTTAGGGATTTGAAAAATATACGTTGGCCGATTCTCAGACCTATACCCGATATGCACACAAAATTTCATACAATTCGGTTCAGCCGTTTCGGAAGAGTCTGGTAACAAACACCGCGACACGAGAATTTTATATATTAGATATAGCTTAATTTATACAATTGTCACATGAGAATAATAATGTCTATAATGATTATAATTCTAGTACACACACTGGGTAGTACATTTATATTCATAATATTTTCAGTGTATACGTATTCTACTCCCTCTTAATCAACCGTATACGTTTTGATAGATAATACACTTAACTATTTAAATAAATGAACACTACTTAGTAGACTTTACGTTATAAAACATTCATAGAACGCATTAGAAGTAAATACAATATATATTCTAAAATAAATGATGCATGTAAACCAACAGTTACCACTATATTGTACATATGTATATCATAAGGTAAGCCTATTAAAAGTTTT